GTCCACCATTTTGAATTTACAAATAAGTGCTATATTCGTAATGGGCATCCCCAAATACCTCGAAAACGATACCCATGTTGCATTTTTTTGAAAAATCTTGGATTTACTAATAAGTGCTATATTCGTAATGGCACCCCCCAATACCTCGAAAACGATACTCATATTGCATTAAATAAGAAAATCGTATCCGCCTTTTTGGATTTACAAATAAGTGCTATATTCGTAATGGACACCCCCAAATACCTCTAAAACGATACCGAACTCTCCACTATTCGAAAAATCGTGCCAGCCATCTTGCATTTACAAATAAGTGCTATATTCGTAATGAGCATCCCGAAATACCCCAAAAACGATACCCATATTTCATTTTTCTGAAAAATCGTGCCCGCCATCTTGGATTAACTTACAAGTGCTATGTTCGACTGAGCATCCCCAAATACCTCGAAAACGATACCCATATTGCATTTAAAAAAAAAATCGTGTCCGCAATCTTAGATTTACAAATAAGTGTATATTCGTAATGGGCAACACCAAAGACCACGAAAACGATACCCATACTACATTTTTTTTGAAAAATCATGTCCGCCATCTTGCATTTACAAATAAGTGCTATATTCGTAATAAGCATCCCCAAATACCTCGAAAACGATACCTATATTGCACTTAAAAAAAAATGTGTCAACCATCTTGGATTTACAAATAAGTGATATATTCGTAATGGGCAACACCAAAGACCACGAAAACGATACCCATACTACATTTTTTTTGAAAAATCATGTCTGCCATTTTAAATTAAATAAAAAGTACTATATTCGTAACGATCGCCCCCAAATTCCTCGGAAACGATACTCAATTTGCCATTATTCGAAAAATTGTGCCCGCCATCTTGGATTTACTAATAAGTGCTTTGTTCGTAATGGCACCCCCTAATACATCGAAAACGACACCCATATTGCATTTTTTTGAAAAATTGTGTTCACCATCTTGGATTTACAAATAAGTGCTATAATAGTAATGGACGCCCCCAAATACCTCGAAAACGGTACCCATATTGCATTTTTTTTGAAAAATCGTTTTCGCCATCTTGGATTTATAATAAGTGATATGTTCGACTGAGCATCCCCAAGTAGCTCGAAACGATACCCATATTGCATTTTTTAGAAAAATCGTACCCGCCATCTTGAATTTACCAATAAGTGATATATTCGTAATGAACATCCCCAAATACCTCGAAAACGATACTAATATTGCATTTTTTGAAAAATTGTGTCCGCCATCTCGGATTTACTAATAAGTGCTATATTCGTAGTGAGCATCCCCAAATACCTCGAAAACGATACCCATATTGCATGTTTTTTTAAAATCGGGTCCGCAATCTTAGATTTACAAATAAGTGCTATTTTCGTAGTGGACAACCCCAAACACCTCGAAAACGATACCCATATTGCATTTTTTTTTTAAATCGTGTTCGCCATCTTGCATTTACAAATAAGTGCTATTTTATTTTATTTTATTTTTATTTTATTTTATTCAATGAACAAAGTTTCAACAGCATTCTTATACTTA